TTTTTTTTTAAATTAAGAATTTAGGACTCTTAGGATCTGTTCACTTTTGGAATAATAAAATGCATAACATAGTTTGAAAGGAATTTTAGTTGCTCAGAAAGAAATAAAGTCTCGCCGTTAAAATCATAGATGTGTCCCTTAAATTAATTCCTTATTGTTAACAGTGAATCAGTACATTTTACACAGCTGTTATGAATAATCACAAATCACACAAGCTGTCTGAGGGGCAAAAAAGCATAAAGATCAGAAGCATAGAGGGCACTGCATCTCATTTTCTTGCTTGTATGGGAACCTTATAGGACACTGCATCACTTATTCTCCAGGCTGCATCTATACGTGCTTTAAGAAAACATCATGAAGTGCTTTCTAGGGTTCATCAACAGTTCACTGGTAACAATAAGGAATCATTTTAAGGGACAATATTTTTAATGGAAAGATTATATATTTCTAAAACAAAAATACCAACTGATTTTAGCCAAGAGTCAGTCTCTTAGCAAGAAACCCACAAAAACAGCATTAAAGTTACATTTTAACAAATTAACAAAAATGTTTATTGAATATTTTCTGGTTAAATGATTAGAGACCCAGATTAAATTCTCATTTCCGGTGTTATGGTCGAGGTGAACAGCTGCAGTGTTTCAGTGTTTCAGTACTGAGATGTGAAGAAGCTTCAGCACTGTGATTTAAAAGACACCACTTCCGCCCGAACAGGGACTTGAACCCTGGACCCTCAGATTAAAAGTCTGATGCTCTACCGACTGAGCTATCCGGGCTCGTGCACAACGGGAAACAAGGATTGGTCGCGTGGTCACGTGCCACATTTTTTTCTGTACTATAATGAGCACTGGCTTCTACTTCCGCCTCTGTAAAGCGTGTTTATGTGAGCTCTTCATCTCACATAAACAGTCCCCTAAGCGTTTCGTGCACGAGCCCGGATAGCTCAGTCGGTAGAGCATCAGACTTTTAATCTGAGGGTCCAGGGTTCAAGTCCCTGTTCGGGCGGAAATTACAGTTTTCACCTCGATCATAACACCGGAAATAAGACTTTAAAGAGTACAATCTTTCTGTCTATCTTGGAGAACATCAGTACGATTTATTCATTCATTCAATCATTCATTTATGCACTTATTCACTTATTTATTTTATACTTAAGTCATTTTTTGTCCTCCATACACCTGGACCATAATACCAGATATAAGAGTTTAAAGAGATTAATCTTTCTTATCTAGTCTAATCTAATCTATCTTGGAGAACATCAGTAAGCTTTTTTGTCTTATCCGGGTTTCAGTTACTGCTGAACAATGTGTTTTAGTCTTTGCTAAAATTTCCAAAGCATGATTTCAGACAGACGAATCCATCCTTCCTGTTCTTTTCACACCTCCAGCTTATTCATACAACAGTGTTTTTTTTTAATTAAGGACTTAGGACTCTAGAATTTAGGACTCTTAGGATCTGTTCACTTTTAGAATAATAAAATCGACAGCATACAGTAGCTTAGAAGGAATTTTTGGCCCAGGCGTATGGAGGAAAAAAATGACTTAAGTATAAACAAATAAGTGAATTAGTGCATAAATGAACGAATGAATGAATGAATGAATGAATGAATAAATAAATAAATAAATAAATAGTACTGATGTTATCCAAGATAGATAGAAAAAAAAAAAACTAAATCTGGAACCTTTTATATATAAGTATTTGGACAATGACAGAGTTTTTGTGAGTTTGCCTTTATACACAATTACAATGGATTTGAAATAAAACAATCAAGATGTGATCGAAGTGTAGACTTTCAGCTTTATTTTAAGAGGTTCCACAAAATATGGCATTTACCATTTAGGAATTACAGCCAATTTAAGCAAAGTACTTCCATTTTCAGGGGCTCAAAGGTATTTGGACAATTGACTGACAAGAAGTTAATTGACCAGGTGCGGTCCATTCCCTCGTTACTTCAAGACAAATGAAGCAGATAAAACGTCTGGAGTTGATATCAGGTATTAAGTTGGCATTTGGCAGCTGTTCGACTGGAGCTACCAATATGAAGTCCAAGGAGATCTCAATGCAAGTGAAGGAGGCCATCATTAGGATGAAAAAACAAAAGAGACCTATCAGAGAGATAGAAAAAACTTTAAGAGTGGCCAAAACAACAATTTGGTACATTCTTAAAAAGAAGGAATGGCGAGCTCAGCAACACCAAAAGGCCTGGAAGACCACGGAAGACAGCTAAAGTAGATGATCGCAGAATCCTTTCCTTGGTGAAGAAAAACCCCTTCACAACATCAACAGAAGTCAAGAATACTCTGGAGAAGGTAGGCGTATCATTGTCAAAATCTACAATCAAGAGACGCCTTCATGAATGTAAATACAGAGGGTTTACAACAAGGTGCAAACCACTGGAAACATTCAAGAACAGGAAAGCCAGATTAGACTTTGCCAGAAAACATCTAAAAAAGCCTCCAATGTTCTGGAATAAGATTCTTTGGACGGATGAAAACAAGATTAACTTGTACCAGAATGATGGGAAGAGAAAAGTATGGTGAAAGAAAGGAACAGCTCATGATCCAAAGTATACCACATCATGTGTCAAACATGGTGGAGGCAGTGTTATGGCATGGGCATGTATAGCCGCCAATGGAACGGGCTCACTGGTGTTTATTGATGATGTGACTGCTGACAGAAGTAGCAGGATGAATTCTGAGGTGTATAGGACTATACTCTCTGCTCACATTCTGCTCACACTTTTAAAGACAGATGACATGAACATTTATAAAAATATGCATTAGTGCAAAATTATGTAAAAAGAAGAAATGAATATTAAAAAAGATTATGCAGCAGTGTACAGTGTGTGAGAATGATCACTTGCTGGTCAAAATATTTCACTTTTCTTCCCAACTTTACAAGCAGCACATGTTTTGTAAAACTGCCTCTATTGGTTTGGGATTTTGTAATGACTCAGGATCTGGTCAAATCTAGAGCCTTCTTAATCTAGAAGCTTCAGGTCGGTCATTTAAAGACTGCCACTTTCGCCCAAACAGGGACTTGAACCCTGGACCCTCAGATTAAAAGTCTGATGCTCTACCGACTGAGCTATCCGGGCTCGTGCCCTGGGAGAAACGGGGATTGGTCGTGTGCACGACGCATATATGAATCTATATAAAGATATCCCATAAACACGCTTTACAGAGGCGGAAATAGAAGCCAATGCTCATTATAGTACAGAAAAAAATGTAGCACGTGACCATGCGACCAATCCCCGTTTCTCCACAGACACGAGCCCGGATAGCTCAGTCGGTAGAGCATCAGACTTTTAATCTGAGGGTCCAGGGTTCAAGTCCCTGTTCGGGCGGATATTACAGTTTTTCACCTTGACCATAACACCGGAAATAAGACTTTAAAGAGTTTCATCTGTCTGTCTATCTTGGAGAACATCAGTATGATTTATTCATTCATTCAATCATTCATTTATGCACTTATTCACTTATTTATTTTATACTTAAGTCATTTTTTGTCCTCCATACACCTGGACCATAATACCAGATATAAGAGTTTAAAGAGATTAATCTTTCTTATCTAATCTAATCTAATCTAATCTATCTTGGACAGTTCACTGATCAGCAGTTTACTGATAACAATAAGGAATCATTTTAAGGGACAATATTTTAATGAGATGATTATATATATATATATATATATATATCTTTCTGAGCAATTAAAATTCCTTTCAAAC